GGTGTGGGCTCCGCCGGCTACGGGGAAGTGCTCCGCTCCCCCGCATCAGGGCCAGGGGCATATCCCGCAGTGTCCCGGAGCTGGCGGAGCCTCACTGGGGCAGGCAGCGGCTCCTCCTCAAGGTGAGGCAAGGCAGGGATGGAGGCTGGGGTGGGGGGCTGGCGCAGGCTCCGCCAGCTCCAGGGTAGTGCTCCACTCCCCAGCCCTGATGCTCCAGGCTCCGGCTCCAGCCTCTCCTGGTGCACGGCCTTGAAAAGGCTGTGTGCAGCTGCGCTTTTAGTTGTGAGCAACTGTGCACATGTGCACCTTAGAGGGAACCTTGGTGGCAGCGCAGAATTGTGCCCCCCCACTGCTGCCAGGCAGCACTGCATCATGGTAGTGCAGGGCTCCTGGCTGTGGCACCAAGCCTCCCAACCCTGCTCTGCCCAGGATGCACCAGGCCCCACCCCCTGGGCCACAGAGGCATACCTCGAGGTACCAGCGCTGCTTGTGAATGCTTCGATGTGAGGGCAACAGGGCAGAGAGCCCCGAGCCCACAGCAGGCAGCTTGCATCTCCCATGATGTCCCATGATGTTCTCATGGCAAAACTGGGGAACTGCAACCTCGACAACCTTGTGGTCCGATGGCTGAGGAATTGGCTCCATGGTCAGACCCAGAAAGTGGTAGTTGATGGAACTGAGTCAGCATTCCGTATGGTGACCAGTGGTGTCCCTCAGGGTTCAGTACTTGGACCTGTATTCTTTGATATACTCATTAACAATCTGGATTCAGGTGTGTCAGAAGCAGACTGCATAAGTTTTGCAGATGACACCAAACTACGGGGAAGCACTGTTACATCAGACGATAGGCTGGGGATTCAAGCTGACCTGGATAGTCTTGCAAGATGGGCAGATATAAACCTAATGACCTTCAACATAGAGAAATGCAAGGTGCTCCACCTCGGGAGAAAAAAACCCCACATCATACCTATAGGCTCAGGAGTGCTTCACTCACTAGTGCTACGTCCAAAAGAGACTTGGGGGGGTCACGACTGACCACAAAATGAATATGAGCCACCAATGCGATGCCGCAGCCGGCAAAGCAAACAAATTCCTGGCTTCCATCTACTGATGCATCTCAAACAAGACCCAAGTTGTCATTATCCCACTTTATTCAGCCTTGGTAAGGCTGGAGTACTGAATCCAATTCTGGGCTCCACACTTTAAAATGGAAGTAGAGAAGCTTGAGAGAGTCCAGAGGAAAGCCATGCACATAATCAGAGGTCAAGAGAGCAGGCCTTATGTGGAGAGACTGAGAGGCACAGGACTCTTCAGCTTGGAAAAGCATAGGCTCAGGGGGTACTTGGTGGCAGCCTATAAGTATATTGGGGTGTACACCAGGATCTAGGAGAATGTCTGTTCACCAGGGCTCCCCTAGGGAAAACAAGGTCCAACGGTCACAAATTGCTGGCAAACCATTTTAGACTGGACATAAAGAAGAACTTCTTTACCATCCAAGACTCCAGAGTCTGGAATAGACTCACCCCAGAAGTGGTGCAAGCACCTATTCTGGACATGTTCAAGATGTGTTTGGATGACTATCTTCCTGGGGTCATCTGACCCCGGCTGACTTCCTGCCCCTTGGGCAGGGCGTTGGACACTTGAGGCTCTCATACAGCCTGGGGTCATTACCAGCATCCCTCAGGGTAGCCTCAAGTTGGACATCTTCCTCGAGTTTTTGTGAGAGAGGGGGAGAGAGAGAGCTCTCTCCCCCCAATCTCCTTTTTCTCTTCCCCTCTCGGACTGGAGGGGGAGCTTTGTAATATTAATTAAAAACGCAGGATAGCTGAGAAGCAAATTGTATAAAATATCAATATATTGTAGAAGCAAATTGTATAATATATCAATATCACTCTTTTCTGCCTATGTAGGGGGTCGGACTTGATGATCTATTGAGGTCCCTTCTGACCCTAACATCTATGAATCTATGAATCTCATGAGGTCCCTTCCAGCTCTAATGTCTATGAAATCTATGAAAATCTGCACCCCCTGCCCCCACAGGCTCCACTCTGGCTGTGCTGCCCATGGGGGAGGGGGAGCAGAGCCAGGCTCTGCACTCTGCTTGGGTCACAGCAGCTGCTGCCTCTGATGGGTGGCAGCCAGGGCTCAAGCACTGCTGGGGGGGAAGCAGGGGGCTGCAGGCCCAGGTCCCTGCCCCTGTAGCCCTGGCAGCTGGGCTAAGGAGGGCGGGGGGCTGTGGGTCGTGAGTGAGCAGCACCCACAGGGCTGGGGGGAGGGGCTGTGGCTTGCCAGTGAGGGGCAGGGGTAGGGCACCAGCATATCAGGGCTTCTCAGTAGGGCTGTGCAAAGCTTCAGTCCCTGATTCGATTCAGCAAAGATACAGCCAGATTTGGTGGCCAAATCTCCGAATCTGAATTGGATCAGAGGACCCTTTAATCTTTCCAAATCAAATTGGAACCCTCCAAATCAATTCGGAAAGATTTGGAGATTCGGACATAGACACAACTTTAACTGTTTTTGCTACATACCTCTAGGTACCAGGCGCTAGGTACCAGGCGGCTGATGAATGCTGCAATGCTGGGGCAGATGGAGTGTCCCACAGGAGCGCTGGGGGCTCCCCAGCATGCTCGGCAGCAGACCCAGATGTGAACCAGAAGCACTTCTGGTCCACTTTCGGGTCCACCAGAGAGTGGAGACTGGTGCCTCCTCGATCTGGAGGGTCACCTGGGGTCCCCCCATAGCCGTGGTACTTCCAGTCCACTGCTGGGTTTGCTACTGAGCACATGGGCCCCCCCTCGCTCTTGTGGGACGCCCCAGTATTGGAGCATTCACAAGCTGCACTGGTACCTCGAGGTATGTAGAAAAAACATTTAAAGCTGTGTCTATGTCCGAATCGCTGATTCTCGTTGAATCTTCAGATTCGGATTAATCTAAATAGAATCAGGGATAGTGATGCGAATCAACTAATTGAATCACTGTCCTTGATTTGGGCCGAATCCGAATCCAAATCCAAATCCAAATCCAAATCACATAGGGCCTGTTTCACACACCCCTACTGCTCAGCACCTCAAAGTAGTTGCGGGGGGAGCAGCCATAGCTGGACCTACATTCTGGAGAGTGAAGTGGGCAGGGGGAGCTCTGATTTTCCATGATAAAATATTCAAAATCAAACACCAAAATATATAGGTATTTAGAATTTATTTTATTGTAATGTCTGGGGCACTGGTAAGCTTCCAAGTTGCTTTAAAATGGTAAATATATCAATAAAGCATTGTGTTCAACTGATATCTATATATATCTATATATCTAGATATAGATATAGATATATAGTCATTTTATTTTAAGTGCAGAAAAATGTGGATTTGGGGTTTTTTATTCAGAGAATTTGTGATTTTTAAAACAGAGAAAACCAGGATCCCTGATCAGATCACCCTCTTACCACTCCCCCCAGTCCCAGGCAGCCTCTTGCAGACTGGAGCTCTGCCAGCCAGCAAGAGGAACCCCGTGGTTTCCTGCATTTTTCTACTTTAAAGGGGAAAATCCAATTTTTTCTAAGTTTTTCAATGGCAAACAGAAAACCTGGATCCCCAGTGATTACCCACTGACAATGGAGCCAAGAGGGTTCCCCTGTATTCCTGGGAACTCCAGCTCTTTAAAAGGAGAAGGGAGGTCAATTTGCTCTTGTCTCATTCACCCTTCAATCCATTTAAAGGCAACTTTGGAGAAGTTCTACTGGAGCAGAAAGACAAAGGGAAAAGTTAGGTTCACAGTGACTATCTTAATGGGCATAACAAAAAATTAGTAAATCCAGGGCAGAACCAGGAAGCAGAAAGACCTGTGTCAAAAGGAAACCAAGGCTTAAGAGTTTGTAAGAAATAGGATGTGGACTAGACTCCCAGAGTTGGTGGAGGACCATCACTGCCCAAGTTAAAAAATGATGCAGGGATGAGCAGCAGAACAGAGTGCACTGGCTTTTTCTGGTCATTTATTTATCTTAGAGTCTAGAGCTACATCCAATCTAGGAACTGCTGCAGGGGGAGTTATTTATGAACAGCTGGATGTGCAAACTGTACTTCGCTCTCCTCATAGTTCAACTACAACCAACCACTCATCACAGGAAGCTGGAAACAGGAGGTGTATGTCTCTTGCCCTTTGAGTCACCCATATCAAGCTTTCATAATGAGGTGCCAGCAAATGTTTCTCCCCCATCCTAATACATACCATAGGAGCAGCTAGTATCAGCATCACACAGCACGTGGTGGCCCTGCCGCCAGTGTAGTCAGAAATGAGACCAGACAGGATGCCCCCTGCATAAGAAAGTCATATACTTCACATTCTCTAGTCAGAAAAGGGGCTTGTCCCAGTGCTGCAATCCTGCAATATTTCAGGAAGGGGTTCAGGGCCCTGGAGACAGGGATTTACCATCTAGTATTTTGACTTAAACCAGCAGGGACTTGGGAAGAGTTATAGACAGCTTGCTCACTGAGCCAGAAACCAGAGCAGAGACCAGATTTTTCTGCTCCGTGGTTTTGTTCAGGAACTGAACAGAAATTCTGTTCCTCAAACTTTTTCATGGGGCCGGGGGGGGTGGGGGGCAGCACACACACACACACAAAACTGCTCTTTGGCTTTGAGCTTATTTAACCCCTTTAAGGCTGCCTTTGTAAAGCCTTAAAATATGGGTCAATATTTAGAATGAAGAGAGCTGTTTAAAAAACAAAAAGAAACTTATGATTTTCTCTTTCAGCTAAAGTGATCTTCCAAACTCTGTCCCAATTTGCATATACTTTCTATTCCTCCCAAATTCAAGCTTTAGGTAAATTTACTATCGGTTATTAAAAAAAGTTCATTGGAACTAGGTAAAACTATTGTAAGCAGCAGAACTCTATAGAGTGTGCGTTCCACAAATAGTGACTCAATCAGCACAACACAACATGATATACTGCCCTTCTATTAGCACCCTGTCCACACACAAGCACATGCATGTCAGACATCAATTAAACTGAGAAACCCAGTGCCAGCCAGTTTTTTTCATATTGTGAAACTGAGGCAAACATCCCCATTAATTTTGGTGCCCAGTCAGAGAAACTGAGCCTGAGGGTTGCAGGCACTGGTCACTGCAACTGTAGCTAAGCTACTCAGACCCTCCAAAAAAAGACACGCTGGTGTGGCAGATGTTTGCAAGTCAAAAGGCCCCTCTTCCTAAAGAACTTGGGTTGGAGAGGAGACAGACCCTAGTTCTGAGTCCCAGCTTTGTGCTTTGGCCACAATCCATCATCCCAACCCACATTTTGCCCCCACCAGGGAAATATAAGCACATGCAAAGAGTTCCAGACCTAGAATGCCACCAGCATCAAAGAGTGTCGACAAGTCCCCAGCCTCCTTGGCACCAAAGTGAGCTGCAAGAAAATGACAAGGGTTCAAAAAAAGTTAAGAGCAAGTGCTTATTTAAAAAGGCATCTGGCAGAAGGGAATTCATTGGTGCTCTTCACAAATCCTTTGGGAACCAATGATTTCTCATGGGAACCCATGAGAACACCTCATTCACTAAAACCTAACTGGAAAGCACCTGCACCCTGACTGCTGGGACACACATAGGCAGCATGTAGGGGGGACATGTGCCCCCTGCCCCGAGATTGGCTGCTGCCGCCGCCGGCTTCTGCAGGCAGTTGCTGGTCACCATCCCCACCGCCGCCGGCTTCTGCAGACAGTCATCAAACCCCACTGCCGGCTTCTGCGGATGGACGCCAAATGCTGAACACCGCTCGCTGCTGCTGCCGACACTGCCACCAGTTTCTGAAGGTGGTTGCCGAACGCCACTTACTGCCAATGACACTGCCACTGGCTTCTGTAGGCAGTTGCCAATCGTCGTTTGCTGACACCAATACCACCGCCGGCTTCTGCGGGCAGTCGCCAATCATTGCCCATAATCCCCCTGCCCTCCCCGTCCCCAATGCCACCGCCAGCTTCTGTGGGCAGCCGCCACTCATCACCCCACTGCCAATGCCGCTTCCCACACATTGTGCGCCCCTAGTCTTGGGAGACACCAGTCATTCATGGGGAAACAGGAGACTCTTGGTCAGTTTGAACTTATATTTGCATGTGAATCCAATGGACTTGCCCAGCACTATTAAAGGGCATTAATGAACATGGCTGAATATGAAGCATGCATGTGTCATAATGACAGCTCACTTATTTCCCACCTCATTGTGATCCCAAGACACTCCAGAACCAGAGTTGGGTTTCCTCAAAAAAACAAAACAAAATAGGAAGATCTAAGTGGATGCAATCCTTTCTACTTCCTAGAGTTTACAAACAAGGTCCCTCTAGGGGAGGCACTGCATATTCTTGCATGTAACAGAGGTCTCCAACTTGAGCACACACACAGAATATTTAGATAGGATATTTGAAGCTTCCTGAAACTTACCAACATTCACAATGTAGAGAGGCAGCCAGTACAGGAAAGTGTAGCTGACCAGCTTTGCAAACAACAGGCAGAGTGAGAACTCTACCACGCCCTGGGGAAGAAAAAGGGAAACAAAAATATCAGCCAGCATGAAATCCCAAGTCAGATAGCATTGCTCAGACCTCATTGTATTCCCTTTCATTTGCTTCTATCCCTAATGTCATTTGTCAGGCACATTAGGGATGCCACAATGTTCATTAAAACTCATGTTGGATTGAAAGGACACAGCATTTTCTGGGCTCTAGATACAAGGGAAACAGAGCAGATATAGCACCACAAATGCTGAGGGGATGCCATTGACCGTACCTGCCAAAAGGATTACTAAGTTTTATATAGAGAGCAAGATCCTAAGGGAGCCATTGTTGTATTGGTCTGAAGTACCATGCCCACACACTTCACTGCCCATCATTAATGAACACAGCATTCTGAGAATTCCCAAGACAACAAACAACCAAGAGCATATAAGCTGGATCCCCCAGTGTCCTTGACCATGTAGGTTTGGCACTGACTTAGTTTTAGCTTTATACACAACATTATGCAGGCTCTGTGGAACGTTTGTCTACAATGTCTGCAGTACTGGATGATGGAACAGACATGGCAGTGCATCATACAGGATATGTGAAAGCCAGCAAAAGCAAGACTAGATCATAAGACATAGGAATCACAGAGCCTTTACTGTCCCAACCATTCCTGGACATGCTAAAGAACATATCTCACCACTGATCTACTTAGAAATAAAGGATCATGCTCTGGATCCGATACTGACAAGTACAGAGGAACTGGTGCAGAACAAAGAGAAGATGATAAGAGCCATGCAAGAATGAAGGACTTGAAAAACATGAGATCAACTCAGATATATGCATATGTATGTGTACTCAAGGAAGAGAATGGTTTCAAGAGATGGGACACACAGAAAGAGAAGTGAAAGGCCTTTTAGCATACAAAGGCCATGAAGCTGTCCTAGCTGCTGAATGTGGGAATAGAAAAGAAACTTTTATAAATGCATAAAGGAGGATATAAGCTAGGAGGAGAGTGTCAGAGTATGAGCAGCACAGAAACAACCAGTGCTGTGACTTCAGAGATGTGTTGCTTAATACTTAGCTTCAACAAGAGCACTAGACAAAGGCTTAAGTACTGCCTTACCTATGGTATAATGGTTAGAGTACTATGCTGGGAAGTCATGCAAGTATAAATCTGAATACCTTGTAGGCAAGGGAGGCACGGGGGGAGGAAGACTAGAAGTCACATCCTCTGCTTCCAGAGTATCTGAACCACTCAGCTCTTGGAGCTACAATATGGGTAGGTCCTTTTCCTTCTTCCAAGACTTAAAAAAGTTCACTTACTTGCCCAGCTTAGTTCACAGTTCAAGGTAAGTGCCAAAAATGCCCAGGCACATGGCTAGAAAACAGCCACATAGGCACAAAAAGGGAGCTGTATGTATTATGACTGGTGTAAAGGCACTCCTGGGCTGGGTGATACAGAGCTGCCATCCAGCTAGACTAGCTTACATAGGCTAAATTGATCTAATCCATGTAGGAGGCAGAAAGGTCCATTCCCTTCCGGCACCAATGATTTCACTGGTCAGTATTTCATCATTAATTGATGACTTGGGCGAAAGATGAAGCTAACCCTTTCCATGTGCACATCCCCATGGGCGACTGGTGCCTCCTGACAACTGCTGACTGAAGGGAAGGGGGCATCCCCCAGTGGCCAATTGCCAACCCTGGAAGCACCAGCAGCAAAACTGGAAGTGCTGCCAGCACTTCTCAAGGGAAGCGCTGGCCAGCGCTCTCTACTCCCTGGCCAGCAAGGGCCAGTCTCAAGGGGGGCACAGTGTCCCCTCTACACATTGCCTATGCGCATCTCATGAGTCACACCCCCTCTCTTGGTTCATAGATGTTAGGGTCGGAAGGGACCTCAGTATGTCAGACTCTGACCCCCTGCCCTGGGCAGGAAAGCGTGCTGGGGTCATATGACCCCAATCAGGTGCTTAGATGACCCCAGCTAGGTGCTTGTCTAGTCTCCTCTTGAATACCCCCAGGGTAGGGGAGAGCACCACCTCCCTTGGAAGTCTATTCCAGATTCTGGCAACCCTCACTGTGAAGAAGGTTTTTCTAATGTCCAACCTAAATCTGTGGCCATTGTTCCTAGTTACTCCAGGAGGTGCCCTAGTAAACAGAGCATCTCCTATTCCCTGCTGCCCTCCCCTGATAAATTTATAGGCAGCCACAAGATCACCTCTCAGCCTTCTCTTGTGAAGGCTTAAGAGATCTAGGTCCCTCAGTCTCTCCTTGTATGGCCTCTCCTGCAGGCCTCTGACCATAAGTGTGGCCCTCCTCTGAACCCTTTTAAGATTCTCTGCATCCCTCTTCAAGTGCGGCGCCCAAAATTGGACGCTGTACTCCAACTGCAGTTTAACCAGTGCCGGATTACTTAGGTAATGCCAGTTCACAGCAAGTGGCATCCAATATCCTGTGGAACAATTGCCCTCTGCATTACACCATCATAGCTCTGCCCCTTAGAACAGCTACAACACATCTGCAGCATGGCACTGCTACTCACAGGGATCCTGAGGGCTCCAAGGAAGCTGATAGCTTCAGGATGTTCAGCTCGTTCTTTGGGACTCTCCGCGGACTCCACTGTGCTCTCTTGAGTATGGCTGGAGGCAGCATGATTCCCATCAGCAGCAAACATCCCTGCAGGGTCTTTCTCCTCTGATTCCACCTGAAATGGTATTTACACAGAGGTTTAGGTTCAGACAGCTACAGTTGAAACCTACCCCACTCTGACCAGTCATGGCTACAGAGTCATTCATCCCTTAGCTCAGGGTTCAGCAACTTTTTGCTGCCATGGTTTGGAGCTTGTGACCTGGCCCGCTACTGTGGGGTGCAAGCTTTGAGCCCCGTGGAGAGTTCAAGCCACTTTTGCTTACCTTCATTAAAGATACCATTGCCACAGAGAGGCCAGATAAGTATATGCATGAGAGCAGCAAAAAGAACTGCAGAGGAAGATGCTGTGGAGGGGGCAGGTAAGCGATTCAACATAGATATATTCCACTCTATCCCCTGCATTGCCCTGGGCCAGGCTGAACCTTCCCAGACTGGATCCAACTGCTCTGCAAGTTGAGTCCAGGCCTTGGGCTGTAGGTTGCCAATCCCCGCTTTAGCTGCCAGGTGGTTAGCACAGTGCTGTCTGAGCTTACTATCCAAGATAACATGGGGGAATCCTGAGTAGCCATTTGGTTCTGTATGGCTAGCCTGCTGTGAAAAGCTCTGGCATAAGAGACTCACACTCAGGGTACATCTTCACCACAACAGCAACCTGCCCTGGCTGGGCTGTTCCTGTCCATCCACTCACTGATGTACTTCCATATTTAGCACAAACAAGGGATTGGCTTGGGGGTTCTGCTCCTAGCAGCAGCTCTCAACTACAGTGGAGACTGGAATCATGAAAGCAGCTATAGAGGGACACCCCAAAGTGGGCCCACTTGCATACTTTTGGGTTTGGGCTTTGTAGGCAAGAGTGAATGGGTATGGGGAGCTTGGGGAAACCCAGCTGGGATACACCATTGCCATGTGGTAGACAGGCTCTTAAGGTCCTCATTCCTACAGCCTCACCATTATGTCAGACTCAATGTAAACAGGGAGACACTCCCCCGCAAACTCTTTCTGGCATCATGGTTAAGTGCTTGGTTTTCTTTTCAAAGATTAATTGATGCTATGACACTGGAGCCTACAGAGAGCTTGAAAGCACCACCATGCAAGGGAGGTTTTTGTTTTGTTTTTATTTATTTAAATTTGTATCCGAGGCCAAATTAGCCAAAACTAATTCCAGATCCCAGAGTCCAGAACCAGAAGTGGCCCTACTACTGGCAAACATCCTCCACCCACACCTGGGGCTTCAGATGTTTCCAAAACCTTTGGTGGGCATCCTACTTGCAGGCCCAAGCCCAGAGACTTGGGGTTTGGATGCCCCTGAGCTTTGCTTGCCCTTAGCCATAAAGCCCTCAGAGCAAGCAAGGGAGGAGACTCTCATTTTCATAAACTGGGCTTAAAGTCACTGCACCTCGGCAGGTGCTGAACCATGCCAGAAGAGCAGTTCTCCTGTGAAGTGGCTCAGGAAAACTGCCTTCTTGGACACAGATACGTGATATTTCCCCTGCCAAGTTAAGAAGCCACTACACTTGATCTGAGCCTTCAAGAGGCTGAGAGTGAGGTACTTCATTTATTTCAACACATTTAACTCAAAGCAAGTGCTAGAGGAATTGAGGGGGAGGGGTGGAGCCCTGCCACCACCTACAAGCAGGAGTGTGTTTGGGGGTGGGCAGAGTGGGGGAAGAGGAGCAAACTTTACCCCCATTAATTCAGCATGACACACTTCTACAAAGTCCACATAGTTTGGAGACAGACCCCAGCCCACTTGAAGAGGGATAGATGATCTCTACGTCTGCTCATAGAAGATTCTAATCACATTGGAATGGGGAAACCAGCTGATGATGAACTAAGATAGCCCCAAGGAAGGGAAAAGACACAGGGAAAAGGCAAATAGGCCCATGCCAAGGATCCCAGATTACCCCAACCTGGGTGCAAGAAAGGGATAGAACTAAGGTTTGTCTACATGAAAAAGATTTGTTAGCAGAATTACAGTATGGTTCTAAAATTATGCCATTATAGTCCTGCCAGCAAGTTTCCATCTAAACTGGGCCAAATACTGCTGCTGTTACGTCCCAAATGAAGCACATGAAAAGGTACACCAGAGTCCAGTACTGAAAAGGAGGGTATGATCAGACCCGAGCCTAGCAGGGTGCAGGGCCCAAGGTAAATCAGCCTGTGCGGGGCCACCTTAATACTGCGTGGGGCCATGGTGCCCCTGCAAAAGAAGGGGGAGGAGGGGTGTCTCTGTGCTTCTTCCGCAATACGGGGCTGAGCTGCCAGCTCTAGGTGAGCCCTGCAGGAGGGGCCGCAGTGCTCTGCCCTGCTCTGCGGGGGCCCTTCCAAAGCACGGGGCCCAAGGTGGTCACCCCGATTCACCATACCGTAGAGACAGCTCTGGGAATGATCAACCATGAGCTTTTACGAGGCAAGTTACATCTGGCTCCAGCCATGGCTGTGAATCTCAGGGAGATCAAATAGCGTGCAAGAGAAAACAGACTGTGCTATAAAAAAAATGGGTCACAGAAACAAGACAGACCTAAAAAAATGCATTTTGAATCATGATGGCAACTGAAAAGATTTTGCTAGAAATGTCCCCACTCCCAGGGACCAGTCCCTTTATATCAGCCATCTGCTGTGCACATTATTTGTCACTCCTTCACTCTGGGCTCATCATAAATTTTTAGCTATTTTACCCCAACCCCCACCCCACCATCACTAATTAAGAAGTTAGATAGCCTAGGGCCAAGAACTGATCTCCCAAGACCCCTCCAGGAGCACCCCTCCTCAGTGAAGAGTCTCCATTTAGTTCGTTTGAGACTTCTCATTAGCCAGTTTGATACATTTATGTTACATTTTACTCAATTCAGATGCTAGAATGCTATTGAAATGTTGTGTAGCAGAGGACTTGTGCAAGACAAGACTGAAATTACAAGTTAAACACAAATGTTGTGATATCACACTAGAAAAAGAACCGAAAAGGGCATTCAAGCTAGACACTTTCTGTTTTCTTTAATGATAAACAACACAGGTTTAAGGAAATTCTGCTCTGACCTAAGGGCTTAGAAGGATGTTACTTACATGGTGAAGAGGAGGACTGCAATCAACATCTTCAGGATCTGAAGGAGAGAGGGAGATGTCATGGGACAGCCATGTAATAGTGTCAGTGCAGTGTTATCAGTGAGGCTGGTCACATTGGTGTATGAGCAACAATAGGTTGGAAGACCAAATGAAAACAAGTCAACAGGTTACAGGGCATGCTGTATGCTTGCTACAGCTGGACTGGTTCTATGCATTAACTCAAGAGACCCACCTCATTTCTTGCTGCTATGAAAAAGCCAGTTCAAACCTTTACATTTACTTTACCCCAGCATTTCATGCTACAAAATGAAAACATTCAGTTTTGGCAATTTGAAAAGCAAGTCTAAGATTAGGGGTATAGGTTGTAGCTGTGTTGGTCCAATGACATAAGCAGACAAGGTTCTTTGGTTAAATCCAATATCTTTTATTAGACCAACTCAAACAGTTAGAAAAGTTCTTCTTTGCAAGCTTTCGGGCACAATCACCCTTCAGTCAGGCAGAAGAATCTGAAAATGGTCTGTGCTCTTCCTGGATGGAGTAGTAAAGCAGCCAGAGGCCACGTGTATGCAGAAAAGGCAGTCAGTTAAAATGTAAACTGGGTTGGTCAATAGGCGAGAGACAGGTGTGGGGTGGAAGAGCACAGACCATCTGCAGGCACTTCCTCTGGCTGACGAAGGGGGATTGTGCCCGAAAGCTTGCAAAGAAGAATTTTTCCAACTATCTGAGTAAGTCCAAGATTAGAAAACAGTATCAGAAGCCTAGGGCTCAGATGCACCTCTTGGTAAAGATTGCTTTGGAGACCAGAAGGCATTTTCTGGAGTGAATTAGACTAGAACAGTGGTTCCAAACCTTTTCTGTATGAGGACCCATTTTTAAACATCAGTGCCCAGTCCTGAACCAGGGCCCCGTACTCCAGACCCGCTGCCCCCAGCCCCTCCTGTGTGGGGGGCAGGGGATGGGTGTGTGGGGCCCCAAGCTGCCCCTCGCAGGCTGGAACTCTGCCAGCCTGCAAGGGAAAAGCCACAGCTTCCCTGTTTTTCTCTCATTTCATTTCCATTATCCAAATGCAAAGAATGGAAGAATGGAGTTGGGCTTGACTTTTCAGAAAAATATGATTTAGGCCTACCCATGTGCCCAGCAGAAGCAGATTTATATGTAATAAAAGAACATTGATGAGAGACAAAAAGCAGTACATTCATTCCCTTCTTACTGCTGGCTAAAAGCAGAGACAACTCATATCAGGTTTAGAGAGCAAGAGGCTGGCTAAGCTAAACAGGTGAATCATTTTTTACCACTAGGTGGCAAAAGCAGTCTGTTGTTTCCAACAAGCCCTCAGACTAAGGATTAATGTACTCCACACAGCAAGGAATTCAGATACAGATGTGCATCTAATGGGATTTACAAGAACACCCAGACTGGGGGCACAGCAGTCCCAGCTGACCTTCAAGCTGGTCCTTTATACTTCCTTCCCCTTACCTTCCACTCCATTTACTAGCACTCTGATGTTAGTACCTGATTAAATAGACTGTTGCTTACAAAAAACTTACGAATCTTTTAATTGATCTTGTCTATAAGGTCCAATGCTGCCTTGCATTCTGCCTAACATTTTCTAGTTCGGTGGTACTTAGCCTTTTTAGTTGCAGGGCACTCCTCCACAACTTTTTTGGCGACACCCCAAAACCACTGCTTGAAAACCACTGAACTATTGTCATGTGCTCCATGTGTTTCCTATGGGAAGTGCTTCAGAAGAGGCACAAAGGGGCCATGAAAAACCTTCCTCAATTGAAAGGGGGAGTTGGACATGACTGACCAAAATTTATCTTTGAACAACCCAGTCTTAAAATCAATAATGTTCTTTCCTGCCCTGAAGCACTTCAGGACTCCTCTCTAACCAGGCTTCTGATTTGAACTGAGCAGCATTGAAGAATTAGAGGCAATCTTTTATTTTTTTCTGAAAACTGCTACAGTGACTTTGACCAGATTAATAAAAGCCCTTATTGAATCTGGGATACTAGGTCTCTAGCTCTGCCTGTGAATGGTAGACGGTATCTGTTTGGGGAGTCAATACAGTTATTTTTAATTTCCTGTGATTTATCTCCATATGAATCTCTTTCAATTACACTGCATGGCTCCTCCGGATCAATATCTGCTGCTTCAGTTTATCCCACTAGTCCTGAGCCAGGGTGCTGCTGCTACCACCACACCAAGTGAAAGTACCCCATGCATCTGCTACATAGCCAGACTGGGAAGGCAGTAGCACACAAGCTCTCCTGCCTTCATTAAGGCTCTCTAATCAGCCTAAAGCAGCAGGAGAGCTGGTGGGTGCGGCAGTCCTTCTTGAGCCAAACCACAAGGCATCTCCCAGAAAGAGGCCTATGAGACAGGTGGAACTGTCCCACATACAGCCCCTCCCTCCCTCCCCCCCAACATATCCTATTGTGTCTCGCTCCCAACCTTGTGGGCCAAAGGGCCCAGCCCAGCCAGCAGCAGCTTCCACACGGGGCAACTGCTGCTGCTGCAGCCAACCCGGGGGCACCTACTTGGCTTCCCTATGCTCTGCTCACTCCAGGCAGCAGGTAGCAAGGGTAAGCTGGAGTGTGGGGTTGGGGCTGGCAGCAGTGCAGAGCCTGCGCCCAGAGAGAGGGCAGCAACAGTGCGGAGCCCGGGTGGGCAGTGTATGGGTGTGAGAAATGGTGGGGGAAGGTATAGGGAACCCCCCAACACTTCCTCCATGGCATACAGTCTGGCAGGGAGCAGCGGCAGAACTGCATATCACAGCCAGGAGCACAGCCCTCCACTGGGCCATCTGTATTGCCAGTGCTTCTGCGCACTTGCATAGCACAAAAGGGAAGCCCCAGGTGCTGGAGCCGGCTGCCTTCCCTGCCCCAGTGGGCTTCCCTCCTGTGCCGCACAAGTGCGGGGAGCACCAGTGATGGACGACCCAGCAGGGGGCTGCGTTCCTCACTGAGATGTGCAGCACTGGCTGGAGCCAGGCACCAGCGCCCCAGCCTGCTGTTGCACCATGAGGGGAGTGTGTGCAGGTGGAGGTGGGGGCTCCCCACTCCCCTCCCTCCCTCCCTCACACCCCACACACCCACACCCTGCCCCCACAACTCCTCACCTATGCATAACCCACCACACACCCCCACTTCCTACTCACATACCCCTCCCCACCAGACACACACACACACCACCCCACGTGAACATATGTTATAGTAGGTGTTTGACTTTTAGTGTATGGATTTGTTTTTTTTTCTGGTTCTGGGGAGCAAGGGGAGGGACTTCCAGTGGCAAAGATCAGGGGTTAGGGATGGGACGTCCAGTCCCAAGATGGCAACCAGGGGATAGGACAACTGTCAAGGGGCAGGGCTACACATGCGGCCCTCAAAAGCTCACCAAACCTCATTAAGTGGCCCTCCACCCAAAATTGCCTGCCCCCGGTCTAGAAATCACACTCACATTCAATGAGGAAGAAGAAGCAGATGACTCCCATGGCTGTTATGATGATTCCGGGTACAATGAACGATAGGCCCCAGTCTGACGCGACCCACACTCCAGCAATCAAGGACCCCAGGATATTCCCCACAGATGTATGAGAATTCCAGATGCCCATGATCAGACCTCTCCTGATTAAAGGAAGAACAAAACCATTTGTTCAGTAGTTTTAGTGTTATCAATGGCACTGACTGTTTGGGGAGATTTTAATGGCTAAGATAGTTGCCTTTCCAGTTGGTTGCCAACATTGTACCATTCCTTCTATCCCTAGATCATGCCAGCACTCTGGCAGCAGAGCTGTATTTGACAGGATTCCTTGCAGACCTTGCTTTTGTTTTTCTGGGCTCACTGGGTGTAGGTAGATATTGTATCCATGACTCGAGTAGAGAAGAATTTGGCAAAGCTGAGCAACAGCTCCCTTTCACCAGAAACTGGACTGAGGCAAGGCTTAAACCAGGAAGGGTTATAAGAGAATTGTTGCTGCATATATTTTTTTGCCTATGAGAAAGTACTCATGGAATTTAGGAACTGCCCTTGACTCACACTCTCTTTCTCAATGTAAGGGCATACAGCAACACAAGAAGGTCTACCCACACTACTTCCAAAAAGCTGATGTAAAGGGCCAGCAGCTCCTAATCAACAACTTTATGTAGGCAGCCCTGCTCTTATATAGGGTTACAGTTAAAATGATAATCACAGAAAAAGCAACCAAAGTCTGTTCATTTAAATTAGAGAAACAACCATACAGGAAGGCTGTACAGGCAGTGGCATCTGTAAAGCAGGCCTGTATGGACAATGATGCAATAAGGGGATGCAAGAAGAAGGCACCTGATGAATAGAACCATGATGCCCAGGTTGGACTGTAGCGAGATGGCAGAATTTTAGATTCCAAAGGGATCATTCAAAATAACTGGCTACCAAAATGAACAAGAAGGCCTTAAGGATGGGGCTATGCTTTGTATGAGCAGAAAGATGGTGTTGTGTTCTGCAACAGACAGGACTTAAAGAAGGGACATGCAAGAGGAAGATCTGGACGCAGACAACAGCAGCAAATACAGGAAACATACCATATTTACTCAATTCCAAGATGAGGCTTTCCCCTGCAATTGGCATGACAGAAAAGGTACCTTGTCTTCTAATCACATACAAGGAAATCTCACTAAATACATTGTCTATCATTAAACTGTTGCCAAAGCAGACTGTGCTTGGCAATCGAAATCAACTGTGAAGTACTGCCAACAGCCAACACTGAGTATGACTATAAAACACTTTTTGCGGGAAAGAGCGAAATACATACGTACATACACACACACACACACACACACACACACACCTCTACATTGGCAGGCCTGTCTCATGACCAGTCCAGTTCAATTGACATTTCCTAACACACATACACCATCAAAGTCCTCCTACAACAGCTGCACCCATGTATCCATCTTTTTTATCCATTACAATCGCGCCAAATCACCTCGGTTCCCTCTACCTCCCCCTTCCCTTCCCAGCCCCAAGTCTTCCGTTTCCATCCCCAGTCCATATTGTCTTCATCATCCCCTTCTCCCCTGTTGTCCTTACTGCTCACCCCCTCTTTGTCACTGTCCTCATCATCTTCCTCCCCCCTGATGTCTTCTCTGGGGGTCCTATTCTTAAACAGTCTTTGCCAGTTTCTTGTCTTCCATATGATTTCTGCCATCTCCTCCCTGTTGTCTTCCACTGCCTTTTTGTAGCATAACTGCATCTCACTCAGTCCTCAACTGGCAGATTTGTGTGTCTGTACATAAGCAGGTTCCTGGACTTCCACAGGATGTTTCTGAAGCAGGAGATGAACAGGTTGAAGCAGGCTGTCAGGATCCCTTGCTGTTTGGTTAGCTGTCCAAACAGTGCCATCTTTCTGGTCAGGGTGTTGACCCCTGGTCACCATCATGAGGAGTAAGATTACTCTCCTTCACACCTCCCTAGCATATGGTTAGTACCAGAGGAGTTGGTCAACTGTTTCCGCTTTCCAGAGGCAGGTTTGCCTGGGGCAGTTTGGTGTACCTTCCTGCCCATCTCCATTTCTCAGTGCCTGCACGGTGGGCTACCTGCCAGTTCAAGTCTCTGTGTTCCTTCTGCAGGTCCTGTGGAAGACTCGCTCCCCACACAGTCTTGCTGCTGTCACCAGGGCACACATCCACGGTTGACCTCTTGTCCCTTGCTTTTACCACCTCCTGTATCTTACGGTGGTTTTTCAGGGTTATTTATTGGGCCATTTTTTTTTTTCAGCTTGTATTTGTTCCAGATTTGTTCCAAGATGTTATAGAACCACAGCAGTTCCCAGATCCAAAAGTGCATATTAGGTGGTGCATATATCTCCCAGCTGTGCTGAATAAGTACAATGCACATTTTTTTTTTGCAAAAATATATTTTCATAGATATATCTATATAATCGCACTACCTCTACCAAATTGTCCTGTTGCTACTATGGGTCACTTGACAGTCCAAAGCACATCACTGCCATTACATCATACACATTCCCACCACAATATCCTCACCAGCACCCACGTTCCTGCATGTCTGCTCAGTGTCCATCACCATTGTGCAAGGATAGGTTAGTGCTACCCATCAGAATAAGTCATATGCTAGTGCCCATTAAGTGCAATACCCATCACTGCAGACTCTTTTCTAGCCATGGCGAGCCACTAAGACAAGTGGTCCCAAGTGCCGCAGCAGGTTCCCTGCAACTATTTCATGAAGCAGGCTGTTCTGTAGTCCTCCCCAACTGCTAGGTTGCAAATCTGGCTTGTGTAGTTGGCCCAGAGGAACAACTGGACAACCGGTATTCCTTAGGTCCCAGTCTTTTTTTGTCTTATACAGCTCAGTCCCCACAACCTTCTCTCATCTGGTGCCCCAGAAGATGATGCAAATGGCCCTTTGGATTCTACAGACGATTTTCTCTAAGGGAGGGTGTGGCAGGACACTGTTGGTGCCTGCCACTTTAAGAACAGAGCCAAGCAGCCAGCAGGTGCTTGATTGCGGCAGCCATTTTAGATCTCTGGCCGCCTAATTAAACAGAGCAGTTACCGGTTGGCAGGCCAGGCAGTAACACTGCCTGGCTGCAAGGCTGAATGCAACACCTGGGAGGTAAGGGCAGGAGCTGTAGGGGATGGTTTGGAGGCTCCTGGTCCTGGGCATGACCTAAAACTTCACCCTGCTAGGAGTGGGTGGCCTGGTGGGGTTCCCAGGAAATGCCAGGCCAGTTATCACCCTGATCAAAGGTGGGTAGGAGTGCCTTAACCCCAGCCCTCACCTTCGGGTGGGTCATTTAACATTGGAGGTAGTTGGGGCCTGGCACGGCTGCTGCCACCTGAGCCTTGTGGGGTGCAAGACCCTGAGGAGCAAGAGTCGGGGCCAGGCATGGCTGCAGCCACCTGAACCCATGTGGAGTGCAAGACCCAAGGAGATGAGGAGCCCCAGTGCGGGTTGAGATGCAGAGCCCTAGTGAGGAGGCAGCCCCAGTGAGGGGCGGAGATGTGGAGCCCCAGTGAGGGGGTGGAGGTAGAACCCCAGTGAAAGGGGGGAAAACCTAGAGGGCTGGGAGTCCAGTATGTATGTGGGTAAAGGTATAGAGTTACCCTGGAAGGGGCCAGGGTAAGTTTACACCCAGTCGGGTAATTGGCTGGCCACTACCTCGGTGAGGGTCACAGGAGAGGCCCAAAAGATGGTACGTCTGCCACCCAAGGTATGAGATAGCTAAAGCCTATGGCCTAAGGGGCCTGCCCCAAGAGGAAGCAAGGCAGTACAAGTTGTCGAGGCATGAAAGAGACCCTGTGAGAGGGGGTGGAGTGTGAGAGGCCCTAGTGAGAGGAGGGCAGTATGAATGTGTGTGTGTCTGAGGCCTGACAACAAGGGCTAAGCTTGGTCTGGCTGTAAGCCAGGAGCATTGTCATCTGGATACCATCTGCAAGACTTGGGCTGCCGCATACAGGAGGAACGAAGCCACAGATAGTGCCCCCTGGCATCGGGGCAAGAATGGGCAGCCTCCTGCCTAATTAACAACATAATTATGTAACAACAAGGTGTTGCAGGAGAGAGAGAGAGGTGGATGGTGTGCCCAGAGGCAGGTGGGGAAACCAGCACTGTGGCTGGCCAGGGAGAACCCCACTTTGCCACAGAGGGAAAGACCAGTACAGTATACAAAAGCACCAGTAGCAACACCACCGTCATGAGCATCATGTGCCCCGCCCATCAACCCGTTGCACAAGTTCCACAGTGCCAGTTTCTGTCTGGCTGAGGCCACAGTCTTTTCCCACATTTTCTGTCCTTTCAGCAAATTCATCCAAGACACTGCTCTCTCTGTCACCTTCTCTCTCAGCCTGACGCATATGACTAGTGAGGCCCTGGCCTCCACTAGGTGAAGCTGGATCAGGTTGCTCTGTGCCTCAACTGCAAACGTGTGCTAGGCTGAGGGAGAAGGCAACAAGAGAGAGCAATGTCATGGATCACCATGGCTTGAATTATGTTGATTATGGTAAGGCCCAGTCCACTAAACTGTAGGTGTTAAATCATGAGCCTTTCATCTTTCAACTAAGACCATGTACCAGTTGGCCTCTTGTCAGCTAAGATCAAGCACAGTTCTTTTTCTGAGCTACATTGGTCTGTTCCTTGGGCCAAGATCACCTTGAACAGCACTGTGTAGCAGACCCATCCAATGTACTGCAGACATTATCCCCTGTAAGAGTCTATTATAGCTTCCCAATGGAAGGATCTCGGCTACATACCTTTTTTATGGAAATGGGGGATTTCTCCCTAGCTTGCTCCTTTGGCCTTTGTGCTAAGGGCAAGCATGATTTGGGGGCATCTGAACTCCAAGACTTTCAGGCATGAGGCCTGAACTTAAGATGTCTGCCATGGATTTGGGAGCATCTGAAGCCCTAGACCGAAGAGTCTGGGCAGAAGGACACTTGCTGGTGGTAGTGCCACACAGACTTAAAATGATTCAGTTCTTCTCCGGCAATAGAATTCAGAACTCATTTGGCTAACTTGACTTAAGAGGTGGTTTTTCCAGAGTGAGACTTATCCCTTGCACTCCAGGCATGCTGACCTTTGTGAGTTTCCCCAAAAACAGGAAACTTGACTGCACAATTTTGTGGCAATGGGGGAACTGCTTTTTTGCCTTCCCCCTGGCTTGCTCCCTGGCCTTTTGGCTAAGAGCAAGCAAGACTAGGGGATATCCAAATCCCAGGGTCTGTGGGCCCTGGGCTTGCACATAGGATGTCTGCCACAGATTGGGGGGGTATCTGCAGCCCCAGATTGATGAGTCTAGAAAGGAAGATACTCGCCCAGTGGTAGAACCACATGGACTTGAATGACTGAGCTCTGCTCAACTGAAATTTGACTATAGGCCCTTGCCCAACAGAATTCAGAATTGATCTGCCCCTTGAAACAAAACAAAATAAAAAATTAAATGCAGGCATTTTGGCCAAGATCAAATGTAGATCAAGTATAGAATGAGGCCTGTCTCTCGTATTCCTGGCAGGATGACCCCTGCAAGTTTTCCCAAATGGAGGAAACTCGACTGCACAATTTTGTAACAATGGGGCACTGACTGTACTCACGCATTCCCCCTGGCTTGCTCCTCAGCCTTTTGGCTAGGAGCAAGACAGACTAAGGGGCACTTGAACTGGAAGGCTTCTGGGCCTGGGGTTTCCATGCTGGATGCATGCCATAGATTTGGCAGGTATCTGAAGCCCCAGACTGATGGGCCTGGAAGGGAGGATACTTACCCAGTGGTAGAGCCACACAGATTTAACAACTGAGTTCTGCTCAGCTGAAAGTTGGAACTTGACTACTGAGCTTTGCCCAGTTGATTCTGAAACTGAGTTGGCCCTTGAAACAAAATATATATAAAAAAAAGTTATACTAGATTTAAGTGCTACTCAAAAGTGTATTTATGAAGCACCTGTGTTAAAACTTGCAGCCATTTAAAAAAAATGGCAATCCACATTCTGGATCAACTAAGTCTATGGGTACTGTGCAAATTGCTACAGCCATGTTTAATTTCAAGGTTATTGTTTCAAATTTGCTCCTCACTTCCATGTGCTCAGAGAAAACAGTCTGACAGTAAAGGAGAGGGAAGAGGTTGCCGGGGGAAAAAGTTGTGGGGAAGCAGAGAACAAAGAGCTATACAATTCCCCCAGATTTATTTTCCCTGCTGTAGCAGTGGGGAGGGGAAAAATTCAAGGTAAACCTCCAATAATTAGATTCTATATCTGGAAAATGATAACAGATTTATATTTTTTCCAGATACAGAATCTAATTATAAGGGGGGTAACTTATAATCAGGGTCATCTTCTATCTGAGTAAATATAGTAGTTGAGGAGATACAGATTTGCAGCCAAGTATGAGAGGAGGAAAGTTTAGGGTAAAGAATCACACAAGGTCAGTGAAGACTGTGGATAGCGAAGAACTAGTACTTGGCCCAGGGAACTGAAGTGTGCCAAATTCACCTAACAGGTGACAAGCATACAACATACATAATTTGAGAGATGCAACCTGTTGGAATGCTACTCTTGAGTAGCAGGATGTGACAGCAGTGGCTCATCAAGCTCATGCTAGAAAACCAAGGTCTATGCCACAAAGCCCTAACTCACAGGAGGTCTTCAGGCAATAGAAACAGAGTGCAGCATGCAGGCTTTACTACTGGGGAACTGCTCAGAGCAGCTTCCTATGTAATGGTACTTCTGTACTCAGAGAAACTAAAATCCTGGGCCTTCCTAATCCCCTGTCTCATGGAAATTTAGTTTAAGGATGCTCTATACATTTTGGGTCAGGCCCCAATGGCATCCCTGTAAATCATAAATCAAGGCAAACCTGGGGGTTACAGCACAAAGGATAGTTTCCTGCTACAGCAAATGTATAAATCAAGCACCTCCAAAAGAAGATTAAACAACAAGCACTTGAGAAAAACCACAACAGAGATCATGTGATAAGAAATAGACTCACTTCCCCTTTCCACACCAGTTCCCGACGCACGTTACCACAGATGGCCAACCGGTTGTCTGCACCAAGCCATTGCAGATCTAGCAGAAAGAAGGGAGACAGCATGAGTACATGAAAGCATCTGCATAAACAAGTTGTGAAAAATAAAAACAAACAAACAAGCACTGTCACTGTGCTGTATGGCATTTATCCCAGGTCTCAGGCAAGTTCAGGCATTCTCTAGTAACAAGCTACTAGTGTACTTCATTCACTACCTGAATCAAAATCTGAGGCAACAGTATTTTACCCTTCTTATTCCAAAGTCTTTAGTCCAGTCAGCATCTAGAATGCCCCCTTTCCCTCTCTTCTTCTATCCCAATGACATGCTTTCAGACACAGAACCTCTTCAAGGCCTCACTATACTACCATTCTCTCTCGACTCCAAGTTGGCAGTAATGCAGAAACTAGGCCAGCACAAAAGCAGAGAGTTGCAATTTTTGCAGTTTGGTCACACTTGCCCAATGCAAGCAACCCCAATACAGATGCAGTCTAGGCAGCCATAGCAGGGCTTAAGTCTAGGGGAGGGAGGAGAAGGGGCCAGTTTACTGTGCTAGTTTGCAAGTGCCCTTGCATATCATAGGCAAAGTCCATTTTCTGTGGCCCACAATGAGCTCATTTGGTTGCTTGCCAGACTATAATATGTGTAGCTGTCCTGAAGAAGTGGTACACAATAAAGGCCACACCGCTCGTAGCTCACTATGCAGGACCACTTTAGCTATTTCCATCACCCAGTTCAATAGCTGTTTGTGTATTTTCAAGCCCACTCAAACTGCTCAGAGAAGGTTTAAAAAATGCCAAAGACAGATACTTAGACCTCAAAGGAATATGAAGCTACCAGAGGAGCCCTTCTTCCATAAGGAGTGACCAGGAAGCTGCAATCATTATGGAAGACAACATTCAGGTACTTCAACTCTCTCCACAGACTCTCTCCATTCAAGTACTTCAACTCTTCCTCTGCAAGCAGAGGAAAGTTTTCTTCTCCAAGGAAGAGGCTACAGTAGTAACTCTCAGTACCAGTCACCAAGTTTCAGCACCTAACCAAAATGGCCCAATTTTCAGATTAGCACACAATGAGAACTCATCGGCTAAGTCCACATGAGTGTAGATGGTTGGTTCCCCAGGGACAGCCAGAAGCAGCACACCTTGTGCCCCATACCCTCTAGTGTGAGGCAAGTTACCCCAGGTGGGGTAGAGGAGGCTGGCCCCAGTAGCCTTACCTGGGGTACTGGGGGCCTCCTGGAGCTGCAGCAGCAGCGATCCTGCCATTTGGAGCCTAACTAGCCACTAGAGTGTGGCTCCAGCCAGTCAGGCTCCAGCTCCGAGTGGTGTGCGCTGCCCCCACATGAGCCACTCTACCTTTTTTTTGTGCAGATTTTTCTGCCCCCTAGATATCCAGGGCTCAAAAGAACACCCCCCCCCCCCCCCGCCCCCGGGGTGCTGCTCCCTTGTAGTGCAAAGAACAGGTGAATGTGTGGTGTGTGGTATGTGGTGCCGCAGATGTGTTTGCAGCACCACATACTGCACGACCACTCTCGTCTGGACAGGGCCATTGAGTGACCAGCACTTTTGAAAAAAGTTAAGACCATTTATCAGAGGATTTAAAATACAGGCTTAAAAAATTAAATTTTAGGTGACAATTTTCAAAAGTACAAACTGAAAATCAATAATATTGCCCTATTTCATGGGGTTTATACATTGGGGTGGAAGAGAGGATTGTCACTTGCCCAAAATTATACAGTGAGATAGTGACAGGCTAGAATCAGAATGTGGAATCCTTAGCTCAACCTCAGCACCCTTTTGTACAGGGTTGACTGCTCCAGTAACTAAGAATACCAAGAGCCCCTCACTTTTCACTATGTAGCTAGTATTTTCACCTGCTGAAGAACAAAGTTTTGCTGCATCCCACAGGAGGACAAAGGATCCTGGCTCCACAATGCTGTATAGCAATGCTATTTGTCTGTCTGAAAGTCTTACTACTACCTTACTTTTTCCATTTAATTGCATTATTTCAATTCCACACCCACTCCCAACAGCAGCACCACATGCCTGGGATATAAACATGGCTTTGAATCCTACACCCAAGTTGAGAATCCAGATCCACTACTGACTCTCAGACACCTCCTCTCACCGCTTGTTTCTCCATTCGTAAAACAGGGTTAATAAGACTGACTCACTTCACAGGGAAGTTGTGAGGCTCAAAGCCTTATTTTGTGGGAGGTATCTCAAGTTTACAAGCCTGAGCACCTCAGTCTTTAAGAAGAATGGAAGAGATCAGTTTTTAGATACTCCTGGGCAACCCAACAAGTCTACCCCAGCCTAAATGTCTATTTAAAAGTGGATGCATGTCAAATAAGACTTTTAACCTAGGCTCCTGTCCCCTGGATTCCAGGGCTGCAATTAAGGGTTGCACTGACTGTTTTCCAATAAAGATAAACTGTTAACCAAAAAAAAAAAAAAATTACCAGGCAGTAACAGCCAGGGTTACACCCAGAACCTCACGCTGTGAAACAAGCTTGTTGTGAAATTTTTTCCTAGAGTCACAAGGACATGTAAAGAACAGAATACCCACAAGGGCAGCTGCTTTGTGGAAACCTGCACTACTTCCCCAAACCCCTGAAGTTAGTTTCTCCACTGTGAGCCAGGATACATTTGGAAGTCGTGTTTCATTACAGTCCACATAAAAGGTGGCACTACAGCAGGTTTGGCAGCATTTTTCCTGTTAGAGCAACTAAAATAGAAACCTTCAATTATAATGCAGGTTCAGGAAATGCTGTTGACTGTAGTAGGTTCAGCTTCATCACCATATGTGCCAGTTGTGTCTGACCTCTTATACTGTGTCTTTTTTGAGCAGATCTTGAAGGGATTAGCTCTTTTCATAGTTGGACAGGAATGAGAGCACTCTTCACAGAGATCCTGGATAGGCCTCAGATTCGTGTTACCCAAACTTTTGGCACACAGGGCACACTTTTTTTTCCCAGATTAACATTAGTGGCATACTTCACTCATTGGTGTGCAGGCCATATCTGGTGCATTTGCCCCATCCTGCCATACGGGGCCAGCTCTGTTGGAGCCCCATTCAGCCCATTTTCCACAGCACACTTCCACCAAACTCATGACACACTGGTGTCCTGTGGCACACACTTTGGGAACCACACCCTAGATGAAGAAGACACTACTCTTCTGAACACATGCATTTAGCTTTCACCCTCCTCTCAAGGTGTCACTAGTCTTGATAATCCCCTTGGTTATCGAGATTAGTTTAACAATGGGACTTTTCCCTCCATATTTTATCAGCTTCTAAAGAGACTCTTACGGAGGAACTCATAATGGAGGAGATGAATTTCTCTCCATATTCCAGAAAATAAGCCAGCTCTCGCACACATTTTCTCTCTCTCCCTCCTCATGTCTTTGGAACAATCTTTATAATGAGTTTGAACATGCTATGACAGGACACTGGAAAGTTCACTGCTTTAGAACATGCACCTGGCATAACCAGACATCTGTCAACCTGCCAGCTCTTCCTGCCACACAGTATTAAACAAGGGTGTGGGATACAAGACACATTTGTGGCTTGCCTTTGCCTTCATGGAAGTCTGGAGTGACCAAAGGAGATGAACACATAACAGAGAGCTTCCCCAGTTACTGAAAAACAAATCTTAACTCTAAAGAATACAAAGTAGCAGGAACCCAGACCCTAAAAAAAAAAAAAAAAAAAAAGGGGGGGGGCCATAAATTTAGGTACTCAAGGTGAAACCAGTGCACTTAAATTACAGCTGTGTTAATTTGTTCATTTAAGATTAGAAGTTTAGACTCTAACACAGGCCAGAATATTTCATTTTGTAATTCTCTACTGTTTGCAGAGAAACTAAAGCTGATATTTTAGTCAAAGGCATACAGAGACACTAAGAAGAGCTAAAAAAACCATCAGCTCAGTCATCAGCATCCATCAAAAAGGCAAACAAAGTGTTAGGGATCATTAAAAAGGGAATTATAAACAAAACTGAAAGTATCATTATGCCCCTTTATAAATCACCTTGAATACTGTTCCCAGTTCTGCTCCCCACACCTCAGAAAGGATATAAAAGAATGAGAGAAAGTACAGAGAAAAACAGCAAGGATGATTAGTTGTATGGACGCGCTTCCATATGAGGAGAGACTAAAGAGGCTAGGCCTATTCAGTTTACAAAAGAGATGTTTGAGAGGGGACATGATAAGGGCCTAGAAAATACTAAATTGTGAAAAGAAAGTAAATAGGAATTTATTATTTACTATCTCTTGCAATACAAGAATGAAGGGTCACCAAACTAAATGAGTAGGTAGTTTAACTTGAGTTTAAAACTAACAAAAGAAAGTTATTTTTCACACAGTGTGTAATTCAAGTATCGAACTCACTGCTACCAGATGTTCTGGAAGCTGACAATTTAGCCAGGTACAAAAAGGGATTGGACAAATTCTTGGAGGAAAGGGACATCAGTAGCTATTGAAAATGGGAGTTAGGGATATAGCCTCCAAATCAGAACTTCCTAAACGTTAAATGCTAGAGGCTGGAAATGGGAGAGGAACAGTGGAAAAAAGCCTGGTCATACCCTGTTCATTCTCCCTTTCAGCATTAACTCTGTGTGTGACAGAAGTCAGGATGGACCAAATAAATAGCAGTTCTTATGCAAGATGGACTTTAATTCCTTTTGTACAACTAAAATACAGCTCTCTAGCTGCACAACTGTTATTCTTGACACTTAAGTGAAGCTTGCAGTTCTATTACCCTATACTCTGGATGTTTAAGTGTATGTAAATATTACAAGCATGGGCAGTCAGCTATGCACTGGTTAGGCACATACACAGCTACATATGCACACCTATTCTGGACACACAAATGCATTTAAGTCAGGAAATGTAGCCAGCCAGAGATCCATGGCTAATGAGAGTTAGGCTCCAGAGTATGCGGGGGGAGGATGAGGAAGAGAAGGGCCTATCCCTATTTTAGTGCCAGTAGCTAAGTGGTTAGAGCCATTAGCCAAGAAGTAGAAGACCCAGGCTCTAGGCCCCTTGCTTAGGGGATGTTTCAACCTGCACCTCTGACTTTCCAGAATAGTGCCCTAACCATCACAATACAGGTTAGACATTATCCCAGTTCCCTCTCCAGTGTTCCTTTTGAAGCTGGACTCCTGGGTGCCTAAGAAAAAGGAACAGGGGTGGGGAGGGAGACAGTGATGTGAAAGGCCAGGTGGAATTGAACAAACCAGAGGGCATATGGCTCAATGAGATGGCTGCTGGCCTGCAAATGCACATGCTCTGGATTCTAGCCTAGACCTTTACATCAAATGGGGCAGTAAATTCCCTATTGCACTACTCTCCTTCCTTTTAATCCAATGAGAATTACCAATAAATGAAATGAGGCAAGGTCTCAGATCCAAAAAAATGCTGGAGACCAGGTAATGCTTTACCTGTGGTGTGGTGGTTAGAACACCTGGGAAGTTAAAGATGTGGGGTGTGTCTACACATTCATTAATGCACCGAATTAATGCACTTGTATAACCAAGTATTAAATCAACGTGTAGTAACTGGCACTACTACACAGTAGTGCCAACGCACAACTTTTTAGTGATGCTAACTGCACAGTAGCACATTAGCATGGCTTTTGCCCTGCACACTAATGCAGCTAGAGTTAGAATGTTCAGAATTAGGCTGCACAGTTAACATCTTGTGCAGATGCGCCCATGCTGGTTCAAATCCACTGTAGGTCAGAGAGGCCTAGAACCTAGGTCTACCATCCTTTGGGCATGTACCCCAACCACTTGGCTATTGAGCCTAAATCCTTAAAGGGCGCTTGACTCTCCCACCCTTCTTTCAGGATTTAGGCTCAACTACATGCTTGGACAGCATACAGCCTACTTACTACGCATGCTCAATCTATGTCTGAATGCTTATATGTCCACAATGCAGGACAAGCACAAAAAATACAGATAGGCAATTAGGAGTTTTCCATTTAGGCGTACAAAGAGAAACAGAATTCCATTGCAAGTGACAGGTTCCATCATAGCCCAGCAGCTGACAGTTCCACAGAAGTAGCTTGTGATCAGCAGACTATCTGTCAGTTAGTGTTGGCTGACGCAGAGGCTCACAGTTAATTTATTAACATCCCCAAAACCAAGGCTTGCTTGATGGTCAGGCCCTCCCTGGAACATATTAGGAATATAGTGAATAACCTAGGAGCACTGCGAGTTGCTCAAAAGATTTTAGTTGACAACAGTTCATCTGCATACCTTCTATTGAGCCAATCCTGGTGTATATTCCTGACTGACTTGAAAGTTAACAAAACAGTCAAGGAAAGCAGAGAATAGATTGAAATTGCAATGTACTAATATGCAAGAGAGGAATAAATATGTAACAGTATGCATGTGTTAGCAGGTGTTTGGATGAATCAAAGAATAATGTATGTATAAAAGATGTGTTTTTAGGCGAGCTTCAGTATCTGTGTCTCCAGGCCTTTATCTCCTGTTAGTTGGATTAGCCTGGCTTCCCATCACTCCCTCCTTCCCCCCAACCCCTCTCTCTCAGCTGCCCAGGGGGCCAGCTTTCAAAGGGGCACTGGAGAGTGAATAGGGGCTAATGTCTACCTTAAGGTGTGATGGTTAGGGCACTGTGCTGGGAAGTCACAGACGCAAGTTCAAACATTCCCTGAGCAAGGGGGCCTAGAATCTGGTTTTTGACTGACAACCCAACTAAACTAACAGTGCATAAAAGCTAGGCCTGTGCGAAGTGGCAAGTATTTGCTTTGGTTTTGGCCGATTCAGGGGACAGTGATTCAATTCAGTGATTCGAATCACTGTCCCGAATCGATTCGACTGAATCAGCCAGGACCATCCTCTGCCTGCTCTTCCAGTCATGCAATGGCTGCCCTGCCCACCCCAGCTCCCAGCACTTTGAAAAAAAAGCCCCGACTCACCAGGTGCTGCTGGGCGGGGAGCCGATCCCTGCTGCCCTCCACTGCCCCACACTGTGTAGGGGGCTGCCCCAGTCCCCCGATGACTGCCCCACCTGCTGCAGCTCAGGTCCTTTAAGAAAAACAAAAAAAACCCGAGAAAAATTCCCAGACTCACTGTTCCTGCCTGGCAAGGGGCGACCCCTGTTGTCCCACACCATGTGGGGGGCTCTTCCAGGAGACCTCCGAAACCCCAAGGCAGCTGCAGGAGCTAGAGAGTCCCAGGGTTTTTCCTCGGGTTTTTTTTTTTCCCCGTAAAGGGCCGGACCTGGGGCAGGCGGGGCAGCCATGGTGTGGGGGCTGGGGGAGCAGGCAGGGGATGGGTCCTGGCAGGCCTCCCCCCATGGTCCCTTCCCCTCCTCCAGGCCCGCTTCCCCTGCCCCCTACTTACCAGCTGTGAGTCAGGCTGCAGCCACCAGGGACTGTCCGAAGCATAGAAGCTCTCTGAATCTTTTCTGAAGATTCAGAGAGTTTCAAATTGATTCAGACCTTTTAACTGGTCCCCTGATTCGATTTGGATTTGGAGATCTGGCCACCGAATCGGGCTGAATCAAATCAGCACCCGAAGCTTTTATTAGGGCTGTGCAAAGCTATCTGATTTCTTCTCAGTCACAAACATACAGCAGTTGGGCTGGAAGAGATACCCCTAGAAGCTGCAACATTCAGCTGCCTGCTCTGCACAGAAGACTTCTGCAAACCATGGCTTAGATTGAATGTAATGTTGTAGTAAATTAAGGGCTTATAGATGAAGAAAAGAGGTCTCTTTACCTGGATGAGGATGAAATACCAGAGCAAATGGATATTCCAGAAGTAGCCAAGGCCAAATAAGGACGTGAATATTCCGCTCAGCACCATTCCGCCTGATAGGTAATACCGCAGTGGGAGGCGCTCACCAAAAATGCCGCTGCACAGAGAGGAGGGAGACCATAAATACATCTGTACACCAAGGTAATCAGCTGGTTAGACACTGAGATGAGCAACACATTGGACACTAGTATTTGTGCAGCTCCCAGAAACTGGAAGCTCAGATATATTCAAGGGAGGCTTCTGCTCTCTCTGCCTAGATGCCCAGCACAGTGGAATCTATGAGTTCCTGGCTGCACTATTCACAGTAAAGCTGAGAGGATGGAACCACCTCTACATAGTCTGGAAAAAATAAAAAGCTCCTTTAATTCTAGGCAAAAAATAAAACCAAGAACCAAACTTGAAATGTCATCATTCCCTCCCAGACCCTGAACCAATGACTTTTGATAGGTTCATCTGGCTAGACATTTCTGAGAGTGTCCCAGTACCAAGACACCCTTTTAATCTGCTCTACCTAGAATGCCCCTCTCCTCTTAGTACCTCTAAGAGGTACTGTACATTATAAGAAGTACTGTATATTGTAAGAGGTACTGTACATTGGCCAATGCTGAAGCCACATCTTGCATGCCCCAAGCTAGCTTACCATTTACATTTAGGTTCAGTGCTGACTGAAAGTATGGCACACTGACACTCCAGGCAAATCAAACATCCATGGCACAGACCCTGCCCCAGCCAACCCAAATCAATACAACAAGCTGTCCCTCAGATACACAGGACACACTTCAAATACAAAACCAAGCAACCAAATTTATGAACAGCAAAGTAATAAACAGTAGATGAGAATTTCACTACATGTAGAATAATGTACAACTAGGTTGGTAACACCTCTTATTGATGATTATTACTAGCTAGTGACTACTAATGAGTAACTATTTCTTATCCCCACAACATTAGTTTTTAGGGGTGGGGAAAAAGGCAAGTCCATGAAGAAAGGGAAAAAAACCTTAACAAAACACCTCACAAAGAATGTCTGCATTCTAGAATCAGGAAGATGTGGCTGAAATCCCAAGCTGGAATGACTCTTACTATACTGGCATCAACTGCCTAAACCCAAAGGAGACAAGTTTTTGCACAGAGATTATGAATGGCTACAGAGTTTCGAATCTGGCTGAAAAGAACAGGCAAGAATCACAAGAAGGAGTCCAGTTTTGCAGGTCAGGATACTAACTCTAAAGTCAGAAGCCAGCTGTGTGTAGGGAGGGGAGGGAGAGGGGCAGAAAGGCTATCTAGATTAGGAAACATCCTCCTTTGCACCTGCTTTCCTTACTTCTTGATCTCTTCATCCTGCCCAGATGAAGGGAAACTGGCCACATTAAAAAAAAAAAGTTGATGGGAGCTCACTCCTAAGGGAGCTCCTTAACCATTATTTGCATTCTGCAGTATAATTTGCCCAACAGATCACAGCATTTGTCAAGCAAATGTGCAATAGCTTTTAGGTACCAAGGAAATGCCAACCCAGCCAGGGTAAAAGGGGATGGCTGACCGACTAATTAAAGCTACTCCAAAGAGGTTCTGGTTATTCTTCATATCCTGTCCCATTCCTTCTGAAGCTGCTAGGGAAATTTAGGGGTCCAGAATCAGAAAAACCCAAACTACCTTCGGACAGGATACCAAAACTCACCACATCAGGCAGAGATGCTGCCCTGATGCAAGAACTTATTCCACTTACCAGCAGCTTTGCTATTGAAAAAGTTCTCATGGTATAGCTGTGGAATAAAGAGAACTCTAATGGGGAGCAGTGAGGCTTCTCAGGAAAAAGTGTGAGATTGGAGTTAAAATTCCCAGGAGATAGTAACCATTCTTCTCCCTAAATGCCATCAGCCTGTGAAATCCATACCTGATAAACATCCCTATTGCATACGCAACTAGGAAAGCATTATCCAAGGCTCCAAAGAGTTCCTTATAGTTGTCCTTATCTGGAAAAAAATTAACAATATTACAAGTCAGCATGGGATACAGTAGTAAGGTGCGTGTTCAGGATCCCATTCCCACAAATGCAATGTGCCTATTCTTACCATTTTATCCACTTGTGGGGGTGCTTTGAGATGCAGAAGCTAGGCTTGTTCCTAGCACTAATTTCTTCCCCAGTGTTTACCTTTCATCACAGAAAGTCCTCACAACCCCTATGAGAAACTGCTTTTTACTACTCCTATGCATCTTCAGGCTGCTGCTGAGAGTCCTTAGGAACTCATTCTCCATGGTCTTTTTTAATAATGATAGCATTAGGTGTGTCTAAACTCTAAAGCACTGCTCAAACATGAATACATTATTCCTGCGTGACCAACGGTGCTGAAGGCCCAGAAACATGACACAGTTTCAAAAGCCTTTTACCCCAGGATCCTACAAGGGGACAAACCTATTGTCCCATTCTAAGTACCTGTCAAGTATCCAAATTAACACCTTGTACTGGGACAATAGTGCTACTTTGTTAATTGCCATTTAAACTGAGTGAAAACACAATCCCTTTTTCCAGGTTTTGATTCAAGTCAAAGCTCAAACAGGACAATGGAGACAACCTGGGGAATTAAATTCTGTATCAGTTTTTAGTTTCAAAACAGTCCTGAGTTTTTGTAATAACATTTTCCATCCTTCACCCTTTGACACAATTTTCCCCAAAGAAGATACACCAATATATTGCTTTTCAGACTCTATTGTCCCTTCTTTTGATAGATGTAAAGGTTTGCAAATTGACTCTAAATAAGAGGTTACCAAACTGAAAAGTTTAAGACATGCAACCTTAATTTTAATTCTATGCCACTTTACCCCAGATTACTGCTGAGGCCTGGAGTCTCAACCTTACTACTTGCACAGTAAGACTCCTTCTCCATTCCAGACTGTCTTGGCATTTGATACAAGCTTTGATAGCTTCCATTACATATGGATGTATGATTGCCCTTTGCACCTGGGACAAGCACATTAGGTGCTATTCAGCTGATTAATAACCTCTACTTGGCTCAGATCAGTCCAGGTGGCCTGGGAACCAACTGCCAGGGAATGCACTAATGAGATAGGTAAACATGCTGTAAACATATTATGACCTCAAGAGTTAATCATGTCATTTGCCAGAATGTGCTGATGTTTCACCATTAGACTGTGACCTGTTAAGTCATATTTAAACTGGCAAAGAGCAGAGCTAGATACTGATTCCTCCTGGGAAAGCGGCTTGGGCCACTGACGGTAAAAAATGAGGTCAGGATGCAATGCTCTTTGCACCCCTGCCCCGAAAGATTAAACAAAGTAACACCACCAACTGAAAACCAGAGGGGCAGCAACAGACAGAGGGAACAGAGACTGGGAAGACAATGAGGCAGGCAGCTCTACAAGCAGTCAGTCATTCTGCCCAGCTGTCAGAGCCTCCCAGCCCCAACATTTTACAGGAGACCTGGGCCACTTCAACAAGAACCAGAGCCAGGTGCTCACTGAGAAGTCACTGTTCCTGACTGGCCCTGGACTCCAACATGCAGTGCTGACCAAGAGCCTCATGACTGCATCCTCAGAGTGATGGAAGGGAGCTCTCCCAGGGCCATACAAAATATTACATAGATATATGAACTGTCATTTACTGGGTCAGGCCATAGGTCCTTCTGGCCCAGTCTCCTGTGTCCACTAGGGGGCGCCACCACTGCCCTCTAGGTACTGCTGGACAAGAGTTGCAGAGGGGACTCCCTTGTGGAGCTTGTTGCCCTTCCAAAGGAGGCTTCTGCTGCTCCCCTGTCAGGCTAGCCCCCACACCACCACCACCACCACTGCTGCTGCCTCTGCCGCTGTCACTGCCCTCCCACCTCCAGGGTGGCATCTGTGCACCTGAACCTGCACTTGCATCTTCACCCACTCCGGTGCTGCCAGGGAGGCTGTGTAGCCTGAGGGGACCCTGCACCACCAATGGGACCACTCCACCTGCACCAGCTGCCTCAGCAGCACCCATGTTTGTCCCCAGTATGCTGAGTCCTGTGTTCCACCCTTCACTGCCCTTGTGTTTGTTAGAATGAGTAAACCATCAGCATGCCTCCCTTTCCTCCTGTGTCTTCCTTCCCCACCCCTACTCCCTCAGGGGGTAGGAAGGGCAAAGAGCTGGCCTCCAACCCCAAGCCACGAACACCTGTAGGGACCAGGTGCTCCTCATCAGGGTGCACCACACCCACTCAGCCGTCCCTGACCCTGCCAGCATGGCTTCTCAGCAAGGAAGCTGCAGCTATGCCCAGGCTGCTGCAGGGAAACCCACAACCCCCAAGCCTGGGCCCTCCACCACCACTGCCCCTTCTACCTCAGGCAGCAGAGGCTCCTTCCTAGCCCTCATCCACAGGCATGGGGTGAAGTGCTTGTTGACTGAGAAAGAGGGCCCACACTTTATGAACTACATGCAGGTCCTGGCTCAGGCAGTGGGAGCCAACAAGACTGTGGTGGCCTCCAGGTTCCACAGCAAAAGGTTGTTCTTCCTTGCCACAGAGACCACCACCCAGGAGGCAGTGGAGAAAGGGCTCACTGTGGGGCATGTTCCCCTCAAGCCTCTGGAGGAGCTGGGGTCCTGAGCTCTTCTCACCATGCCTCCCCAACTCAGCCCTCCTGAACAAGTCCCTGAACTGCTGAGGGACTTCCAGCTCATCCTCAATGCTGTGAGAGTGCTGGTGTTGCAAGGCAAGGGGCCAAAGCAGTGCAATGCCAGGAATTTGAAGACCCTGGGTGTCTTCAGAAGGAGGCTAGATAATCACCTAGCTGAGGTCGTTTGACCCCAGCATTTTTTCCTGCCCATGGCAGGGGGTCGGACTTGATGATCTGCTCAGGTCCCTTCCAACTCTGAATTATCATTGGGCCCACAGCTTCCACAATGCCTTGAACATGTACGGGAGGGTGGTGGGGTTGCTGCTGGGCCCCACACCTGGTGTTACTGCTTGGACCACTCCATGGTAGATGTTTAGTGTGCCTGTCAGCTTGACAGCACCACCACCTTCACCTTCCACCTCAGGGTGGAGGAGCAGATGCACCACTCTCAGTTAAACCAAATTTACATCTCCATGCTGAACACTGCCCAAGACCATGTTTCCAGCATCAGGCTGGCCCCTTTCAGCAACCAACATCTGACCTATGCTCGGGTCATGCTGCAGTGTGAACATCCAGGACCGGCCTAATGGCACTTTAATAACAGCCTGCTGGAGGATATTGACCAGGGGCAGGCAATTATTTTGGGTAGAGGGCCGCTTACTGAGTTTTGGCAAGCCATCAAGGGCCACATGACAGGCAGCCCAGAGCAGATAAGTATTAATTTTCTAAATTTTTAGGGGCCCCGCAGGCCAGATAGAATGGCCTGGTGGGCCGCATCTGGCCCCTGGGCCGCATTTTGCCCGCCCCTGATATAGACTTCATGGCAGCCTTCCAGAAGTTCTGGCTGGCCTGGCATGAGCAGCAGCTGGTCTTTCCCTGGGCTTGGAGATGGTGGGACATGGGGAAGGTGCATTTCCACCTCTCTAACTGCAGCTACACCCAGGGACACACCCAGCAGAGGGAGACAGCCAGGGAGCAGTTTGTGGGGTAGGTCCTGGAGCTAGAGAGGTGCCTGGCTGCTGATCCAAATAACCCGTCTCTCTGCATAGAGTGTCAGGAAAGATGGAAGGAGCTCTGAGTTCTGGACAACTGCTGCATCCGCAGCATGTTGGTCCACTCACATATCCAGCTCCTCCAACAGATGGACCGCAGCTCCGGCTTCTTCTATGCCCTGGAGCAGAAGAGGTGTCCCAAGAAATACTTCACCTGCCTCCTGGCAGATGATCGCACCCCCATCATGGGTCTGGACAAGCTGTGAGTAAGGACAAGAGCTTTCTATGTGGTGCTTTCTCACAAAATCTGAATAACACTGCTGCCTGCCAGGTCCTGTGGAGGGACTACCTCAGGTCAGTGTGGGCAACCGGGACCAGCTGGAGGGTCCTATCATCCTGGTCAAGCTCTTAGGTACCCTCCACTTGATGCCCACCAACAAAGTGCTGGGCATGGACAGGCTGACCACAGAGACCTACTACACCTTCTGGGATGTCCTTGGCCCAGAAATGCTGCAGTATGGGCTGAGGCCGAAGTGGGTAGGGAGCTCCCCGTCAAGCAGGAGGGCCATGCTGACCCTCCTGCCAAGGGGAACCCCCATGACTTAAGAAACTGGCACACAGTCTCACTCCTCTGCATACACTACAAAGTGATAGTAAAAAGCCATCTCGCTGAGCCTGCCATTAAAGCATGCTGGCATTCTTTTGGTCTGCTTTCCATTTTTTTGATTTGCTGTATGCATTTGCTCTGTGCTTCCAATATTGTGTTCTTAAGCAGTTCCCACATGTACTTAAAAGTCTTTCATCCTTTTAGGGGCCCCTTTTAACTTCAGTCTAACTAGCTTCCTCATTTTGGTGTAGTCTCCATTTTTAAAGTTAAGAGCTACTGTAGTGGATTTTCTTCTCATCTCTCCTCCTACATGGATGTCAATGTCAAAGCCAGTTGCATTGTGGTCACTATTGCAGAGCAGTTCAGTAACACTGAAGCAAGCTACACAACGTGAAAAAGAAAGACGCCAGACTCAACAGCAACATATATTTTCTAAACCTATGCAAGAAACACAACATCAGTCCCAGAGGACTAAACATCTCCAATCCTCTGACTACTACACCAATTCCAAATATGCTTCACAACTTTGCAGGAGAGCTTCAGAGAAACTTAGAAATCATCTTCTTCACCTAACCTAGTCCAAAAGAAATCAGCTGAGGAAGGAAATCTACATGCTACAACAATTTAAGAGAGAAAAATCCAGACTTCTTCCCAAACATTATACAACATATATGAAGAGACTACCAAAGATTTTCCAGAACATCCATCCAACATAAAAAGAAGAAATGGAACCAATTACTCCAGGAACAGCTTTCCCAATCACAAAACAACCTTCAGAGAAATAACACCAACGCTGTACAACGTTCCAACCTCAAACTCGATGCAACTGAAAGAAGAAACCAACCCTGAAATACCATCAATCTCTCCACATGCACACTTACCAAAGCTGAAAAATCTGTCCTCCCCAAACGTCTGAATTTCTGTCCAGAAAAACAGCCTAATAAAATACTTAAATGTGGAGAACTAGAAGAATTCTTCCAATGCCTCCACCTCAAAGAATATTTCTGTAACTGAAATGAATTAACGTCCAACAACACTTCAACTTTTGACAACATCAAGGAAAAGGTCAGCCCCAACCCCCCCTAAAAAAACCAAACAAACAAAAAAAGCCACAAAATCCATCAGACTGGACACCTCACAGTGGGCAAAATCCAAACCTTGACCGCTATATTGTCTGCTTCAGAAAAATGAAATAATCAACAACGCATACCACCATAATAACCTATCCCCCTCAGAGAGAAGGGCCATAGAATCCCTAAGATCTAACCATCAAATAGTAATAAAACCAGCTGATAAAGGAGGAGCTATAGTTATCTTTAACCATGAAGACTACATAAAAGAAGCCAACAGACAACTCTCTGACACCACCTACTACAAAAAACCAGAGAATGATCCTACTCTCCTTTTCACCTTGCAGCTCAAAATTACCATCAAATCATTTCCATCAGAACTACAAGAAAAACTATAGAACTTGATCCCCCCACTACCCAACCAAGGGACTTTTTATATGCTCCCTAAAATCCACAAACAAGGGAACCCTGGCAGACCTATCATATCCAGCCATGAACAGGCACCCATGTCACGAGTTTTGCCTGTCAGCAGCTAGGGGTGCAGGGCCCCAGACCCCCCTGTACTGATCTCCTCCACAGCTGACAGGCTTTGTGGCCTCAGCAGGGGCCACCACCCCTGCAGCTTTCACCCTGCTGTGCCTTAACACACACAGGGTCACCTATGTCACGAGTTTTGCTTGTCTGCAGCTTGAGGGGCAGTTCCCCCCAAATCCCTGCACTGATCTTCTTGAAGCTTGGCAGGCTTTGTGGCCTCAGTATGAGCTACCAGCCCTGCAGTTTTGACCCTCCTGTGTTGTAACATATAGACGTGACATGAGTTTTGCTTTCAAGAATTTGGGGTACAGTTCCCCCCAAACCCCTGCACCGATCTTCTTGAAGCTTGGTAGACTTAATTCTCTCTGCAGAGTCTACCACCCCTGAAAATTTCATCCAAATCAGACAAAAACAACAAAGTTATAGATATTTTATTGATTCCCCATTATACCCTATGGCTGGATCTCCGAGGCGGCTCTGAAGCTTCGGAGCCACTTCGGCCAAATTGAAGCAGAAACCCGGTCGGAGCTCCGGACCAGATCCCTGGCATCCGAAGCGGCTGGATCCAAAGTCGGATCAGATCACTGCCAACTCGCACAGGCCTACCTGCCAACATAGCTCCACGTGCCCCCCCACAACTACTACACCCCTCAACAGAAACATTAACATTCCTGGATCTTAGACCTGCGCCTCCGGAAATGTAATACCTCTCATCTAATGCACCAAATACCCCGATGGAAAATATGTAGGAGAAACCAAACAACAACCATGCACCAAAATGAGCGCACACCAGAAATCTATCAAAGACAGGAATACCCAATTACCTGTGGAGGCACATTTCTCACAAGAAAACCACGCTCTCTCCAGTCTCTCAGTTCTAATCCTCAAAGGGAATTTGCAAAATACCTTCCACAGACAAGCCTACGAATTTTTTTCATCAATTTACGGGATTCAAAAAATCATGGACTAAATACAGACATTGAATTTATGACAGTATAACCTGCCTAACATCTGACTCCCCAGGTAAACCCTCCACTTTTTATGAGCTATTCTCATTGCCTTCCTCCCGTCTCTCATCCTTTGACTACAGCCACTTTTCAATCCCCCTTCCCCTCTGCCTCCACCTATCTTTAATCTACTGACCACCTCAATTTACATTTTAACTGCCTGACTTTCTTACATAGGTACGTACTGGTCTCTGGCTGCTTTACCAGTCCATCCAGGAACAGCACAGACCATCTGCAGATGCTTCCTCAGCCTGACAAAGGGTGTTTGTGCCCTAAAGCTTGCCAAGAAGAATATTTTCAACTACCTGAGTTGATCTCATAAAAGATATTGGATTTACCCAAAGAACCTTGTCCGTCAGTAACACTTTTACACTTTGCACCAAATCCTGTAGTGCTCAAGAATGGCACTACTTAGGCCATTCTTGAGCTAGTCCTTTCTTCTTGTTGGTTTCAGAGCTAGTTTAGTCTCTGCAAGCCAGCCTGGTGGTTTTCTTCTTGTCACCTCCCTTAGCATTTCTAGCTCGCTGCTACCATCCTGGTCAACAGTACATCCCAGATTTCAGAGGGGGGGGCGCGGCGGTTCCTATTGAAACCCAGAATTTCTATCCACAGAAATTCTATGGTACCTCTCATCAGTTGAAAAAAATATCTACCTTATTTGATTCGATGGAGTCTTTGACGTTGAGTGCCACTTCCCAACCTATTTTAACATTCCTGTATAACATTCCACTCCCTGGACCTATTCTAACATTCCTGTATTATTCGTATCCTGGTATTACAACATCCCACTGAATTTCCTCATTCCACCATGTTTCGGAGATACCTACAATGTTATTTATTATTACTGTCATTATTTACTGCTAAGCATTCAAGTTCCCCCACCTTTGATGTTAGACTTATAGCATTAGTATAAAAGCATGTATACTTTTTATTGTTGCCTAGTTGGTTATTCTGTGTGACCTTTTAATCATTGAAAGTATTTGTTTATACTGGTCTTCTCTGTATTTCACCTGAGCAGTCCCTCCCTGTTTCTCATCCCCATCATTTATGGCCATTTGTTTCATGGCTAAAAATCTTGGAGCACAACAGCATACAGTCAGGAGAGATGCTCTGGCACTTAGCAGGGAGAAGGAACCAGTAGGCAAATAGGGTCTTACCGAATGGTGCCCAATCACACCATGTGGTGCTGTTTGAGCCATTGGTGGGATTCCTTCCCAATGCAGAACAGTTGAGATGTAGCTCACTCTGAAAAAACAGAACAGGGTGAAAAGTCAGGGCCTCCTTCAAGAGGACTCCTTCACTGGGGTGGCAGGAAAAAAAGACCCTGCTTCTTCATTTCCCTCCTAGATGTGTCATGCCCAATAGCTGCAAGAAAACCACTCCCTGCTGTGGCAATACGGACAAGACCTACAACTGGCAGAGTACAGCTACTACAGCAGGCACCCTCCAGCACAGCAGGGCCCCTGCAACAGCAGACTAGATAATTAGAAAGTTGTGACAGAAACAGAGCATTGTTATGGTATATCCACTGGAAGGCACCCTTGATTACATTTCAGTTACTGCACTTACCTTCACAATGCTGATGGGTTTACGAGAAAGATGGTAACTGGTATAAAACAGAAATGTCAGCACAAGAATGAATCCCCGATACCTGGTGGGAAAAAAAAGACATTGAAACAAAGGGGAAATATACCTTCTGGTTCCTGGGGCCCTGCTGTAGTACCATTGTTAGTACTAGTGTTACTTATCTGGGATAGTACAATGTCTGCATTTCCTATGGACTCAGGGAGAAGGACAGTAAAGAGGTTTCTCCAGGCAAACTCACACCATATGGAAAAGGTGGATGGCCTGCACATACTTCAGTCTTCAATAATGCTTTGTCAGTGGAACCCTATTATGTGTCTGAGATTGTACAGGATAGCCCACACTTACTGGCTGGCATTGTACCACCTGATATTAGAAGAAAGGTAGTGAGCCAAAAAGAAAGATTACAGCAGATGGAAGACCCCAGGCATCCACGGTATGGTCACACAGAAGCAACCAAACAGCTTAAAGTGCAAAAGAGTTCTGTGACCAGGGTCACACCCCTGGACACGACAGCTGACACAACACAACTGAGGTTATAGAATGAAAGATTACCTGCAATCAGATGCCCTGAAATAGATCTGGAACCCCAGAAGGACCTTCCCAGAAGTCTGCACATCACTGCACTTGCATGTATTTGTGTTATTAGAGTAGTCCCATTTCAACATGCTTGTTTTTGATCTTCCAGTTCACGCGTGCAGGAGGTTCATGGCTTGCCAAGTTGACCACTTTGAATATCCACAAATTTGGTCACTTCACTGCTTGCTCCCTTTTCCAGATCATTTATGAATATATTAAACAGCACTGGTCCCAACAAAGATCCCTGAGGGACCCTGCTGTTTATTTCTTTTTATCCTGTAAACTGACCATTTATACTCACTTTTTGCTTTCTGTCTTTAAGACAATTTCTAATCCACGAGTGGACATTCCCTGTAATCCCATGACTACCTAACTTTTAATTAAGAGCCTCAGATGAGGGACCTTGTCAAAGGCTTTTTGGAAGTCCAAATATACTATGTCAAAGGAATCGCCCTGATCCACCTGTTTATTGACACCCTTAAAGAACTCTAGTAGGTTAGTGAGACATGATTTCCGTTTGACAATGCTATGTTGATCCCTCCCCAGAGAGTCATGTACATTCCTGTGCTGAACAATTTGTTATTATTATTGTTATTGTTCTTATTTCTACCTGTTTTCCAGGAACAGAAATTAGGCTCACTGGCCTGTTCCGTAAGTCCCCTGAATGCCATCAAATCCTTGTGATTTGCTACTGTTTAGTTTATTAATTTCCTTTACGTCCTCATCTATTGACACTTCAGTTTGGGTCAACTCCACTGACTTGTCCCCAAGAAGGAGTGGATCTGGTGAGGGAATCTTCAAGGCATCTTCCACAGTGAAGACCGATGGAGAAAATGCACTTAATTTCTACTACCCAACCTAAGTTTCCTTTGTTGCAATTTAAGCACATTCCTTCTTGTCCTGTTCCCTGTTGACACAGAGAATGGTAATCACCTTCCTCTTTATAAAGAACCTTTTTATCATTTGAAGGGTTATCAGATGCCCTCTCAGTCTTCTTTTTCTGCACATTAATAATCCTAGTTCTCCCAACCTTTTCTTGTAAGTTTTAAGCAATCTTCTTCTAACTTTAAACTGAACAAGGAAGCTGATAGATAAAGATAGCACACCCATTGCCATATTACTCAGTCTCTCTTTGGGACAGACAGATGGAGTATCAGTCCCAGCAGGGTCTGTTAATGGGAGGGAGACAAACTGGAATGCTCAGATAGTGAGAGGCTACAAGAGAACACATAGAACCCACACAGGGAGGGGACCACATGGCCAGAAGAGAACTGGAGACAAATGTTCCATCTTTCATCATTTTTGGAGTAGTTTGGAAGACTAGAAGGAATAGGTTGGATTTATTTCTCATGAAGAACAGACCAATTGGGCTAGGGACAGACATTCAAAAACACATTCAGGCCTTAGCCTGAATCGATTCAACCTTTGCAGGTTAGTCTAACCTGGCTAGGCTGAACTGGTTGTAAACTAGACAGATTCTCTCTGGACTGTTCCTGACTGGAACTTGGTTCCAGATTTTGGCCACCCTAACTGTAAAATATTGCCTTCTGATCTCTAACCTAAACCTATTCTCCATCAGCTTATTACCATTGTTCCTTGTCACCCCAGGTGATGCTGGGGAGAAAAGAGCTCTACCTATTTGCTGTTGATCCTCCCCTGATGAGCTTGTAGGCAGCCACCAGGTCCCCCATCAGCCTTCTCTTGCTGAGGCTGAACAGGTTCAGGTCCCTCAGTCTCTCCTCATAGGGCCTGTCCTGCTGCCCTCTCACCCAGCAGGTGGCCCTCCTCTGAACCCTCTCCAGGCTGGCCACATCCCTTTTGAAGTGCAGCGCCCAGTACTGGACACAGTACTCCAACTGTAGCTTAGCCAAAGTTGCATAGAGGGGGAGTATCACCTCTCTGGACCAGCTTGAGATGCATGTTTGGACGCATGACAAGGTATGGCTGGCCTTGCTGGCTGCGGTCTGGCATTGGCGGCTCATGTTCATCTTGGAGTAGATAATGACTCCAAGATCCCGTTCCGAGTTGTAAGCCCCCAGACCCTTGCTAGCACTCTGAGGCAAGGGGGCGGAGGGGTGCAATGCATGCATCTATTGGAAATACAGAGCTTTTCAATCTCCCTCCCTGCTTGTCAGACTGTCTGCAGCAAACTGACAGGCAAGCAAGGTAGCCTGGAGCTGATAAGAGTCTTTATCACCCAATTAGCAAAACAATAGCCTCTTTCCCATTACTTCAAACTCTTCTTAAACAGCTTGGGTGGGGGGGGTGACCTGTTTCATAGATTCATAGGAGTAGGGTCAGAAGGGACCTTGTAGATCATCAAGTCCCTTCCAACCCTACTGTTGATTAGCTCCAAGAGCCCTGTTCTGTCTGCCTGCCTGTCCCAATGAAATTGAAGAGACACACTCACAGACACCTCTCTAGCACACCAAATGCCTAGGGTCCGTGGGAGATGGAAGGCAGGGGAGGGGGGATTTCCTGCTTGAACAGAGAGTAGGGGTACGGCAGGGGGAAGCCAACAGACCCTGCTGTGTCTGCAGTCTCTGCTGGAGCCTCATACAGCACTAGCTAGCATACCACATGCTGGCTATGGTCCATGCTGTGGGAGGGGAAGGAAGAGATCCCTGCTTAAGCAGCAAGTGGTGACAGGGGAGGGAGAGAGGGACATGAGGAAGCCAGCAGACCCTGCTGTGTCTGCAAGTCTGTACGGAGGAACTCTGCCCAGGGAGCAGCAGGGAGGGGCAAGCCCTGCTGTGGAATACTGAGCTCCACCCAGCCCATAGAGCATGCTGGGATACTAGGGGTATCTGGTTTATCTTAAACCAGCAAGGGGTCTGGGACAGACATTGCATAAACCGGTTTGAGCCAAAATCAGTGAAGTCTGATACTACATTCAACTACATTTATCTCAAACCGGTTTCAGCCATTTTGAAACTGGTTTACGTGCACTGAACATCTGTTCCATTACAGGTTTAAACGAGTTTCTGATCACTTAAACCGGTTTATATGTAATATCTGTCCCTAGCCTTGGTGGGCATCCAAAGCCAGCCAGAACACATGACAGAGGCCACTGGCGTAAGTTTTAGTTACCCAGGAAGTTAAATAGTGATGTTGTTGTATAGCAACCTAGATTCTGCCTCCACCAGCAGTTATTCTGCTATATACATTTAGAGACTCATAGGAGAAAGATACCAAGTACCCAGATCATGTCTGCAGAGACAGTGTTTGCTAGATTTTCTTAGTTTAAAAGTCCCACACAAGGAAGCTTGTCCTGCTGCCCTGACAAGCCTGTTCTACAGCCCAATATACTGTGCAGTCAGGAAGGGTTTTTCTGGATACCTGGACTAGGTTTTTCCCAATCTTCATTTTATCCCCATACTTCTACTCCAACACACATACACACCTCTCCCCTGCTGCACTACATAATTCCTGTCTGCCATTTAGAGAGAATCCCTAGGCTCAGAGTTTTCAGGGAGGAAGGAACATCCCTGCCCAAACAGCAGTCTGAAGAGCAGAAAACAGTAACAATGACTTTTGAGCTCTAGGCTTCATAGTGAGCAGCACTACTTTAAGATGAAGGAAGCAGCAAATCCAGTAGCCACCAAAAACGAAACAAAAACTCAGATGTCTGTCCAGTACAATTTATTCTTGATCTATACTTCTAAAGCTGCCTATTGCTCATGGTTCTGTTAGTCTATGAAAAGAAATACACTACTGAGACAAAAGCAGAGCCTCAGATACAGGATGTTAAATTGTTAACATCAGCTCTTTTCTATCTGAAAAGTCAGTACTGAATTTCGTCTTCTTCCAAAATTCCTGCATCTCATGTGGAAAAAAAATCCATAGCTAATGTTCACTGGTTCAGTTACTATAATTCATTAGTTCTCTTAATACCTCAAGATTAACCCATGTGATTCACGTCTCTTGATGACCCACATTGCTTATCTGACCAAGCTACATATAAAACCTATTCTGGCAGGATCCTCCCCGCCCCTCTAGAAAAATGAAACCCTTACTCATACAGAAAGAGTTCAGCTTCAGCCCATTGGTTTCCTTTGTATCACTGTTTCACAATAAAACAACTACCTCCAATCCTTCTGGCCACAGCTACTAAAAGTTTGCAAGCCTTAGGGCCAAATTCTATTTCCTTCTGTGCATTCAAATGGCAGTGTTCTAAATGCAGAAGTGGAGTTTCTGGCACATGACTGTCAAGATCTCATGGTCTGACAATCATGTTCTCCTAACTTGTACAAAATACTCTATTCATTGTCTGCTGGAGAGTGAGAAGTCTGGCTTTCCATTCATGTGTTTGTCTGCTCCATACTAACTTCCTTTCATTTCTGTCTTTGCCCCAAAGCAAATTAGCCAGAACTACAAGGGCAACAATTCTGGGCTCTAGACTTTACATTTGTGTTCTGTTATACATGCCTGGGAAAGTAAAGTTCCTTCATGTGAAGTGCAGTTAAGTCTTGTCTATTAAAGATGAAAGGTTCAATATAGTTTTGTGGGGTTCCTTTTATGGACTTAGCTGGCATTCTGGACCTCTGTTTACAGAGACAATATTATGTAAATACAGTTTATCTTTAAGCAGATGAAACCTACCACTATAAAAGTGAAACATATGCATGTAACCTTATGGCAAGGAACCAGTTGTACCAAAGGGAACCGGCCCGGGGAGACAAATCATGGTCTTTTTTGTCTCTTCTTGCAAGAGAATTTGGCCTGTACTACTTGTACTACTCTAAACTTATTAAGAACTGGCCTATTCCAATGACCATCTGTAAATAAAATCAAACTGATGAAAATATCACAGCTAAAGTAATCAATATTGGACTAAAGAGATATGGCATATAGAAAATATCTTGGACAAACTACAGAAAGATTGCTGCTATATTGCAGATGCTGTTGCAATTTGGAAAGAACTTCAAAAAACATTAAAACAAGAAATACGCAACAGTAAAAAGTTAAACTGCAAGCAGTAAAGGGATAGCTAGATCAAGCTTTTCCTCCCCCTCAATTTCCTGCCAATAGTCTTAACACAAAGTACCAGGGTAGATAACTGCCCAAGAGGAAAATGCTTCAGTGATATGTGCATCTACTAATCACTCATCAAGCATGCCAATCATAATAAATGCCAGGACTAGAGGTGAACCATTCAAGCAGTACATGTTTGCTGAAGACGTTTTAAAGAAAGTCACACCACTGAACTGATGGACATCACTAGCAAAGCACCTGGAACACAGTTTGTTCTTCATTTGTCCTGGTTCATTCAAACCTGAGAAATGGATTGGGAATTGAAAAAGCAGGAAAGTGTGTTTTTCTCTTTCAGTACATAAATATAGCAGCAATTATCCCCTTTCAAG